ACGGAAAGAGTGGAAAGAGATGAGGAGACGGAAAGAGTGGAAAGAGATGAGGAGACGGAAAGAGTGGAAAGAGATGAGGAGACGGAAAGAGTGAAAAGAGATGAGGAGGGATGGAAAGAGATGAGGAGACGGGAAGAGTGGAAAGAGATGAGGAGACGGGAAGAGTGGAAAGAGATGAGGAGACGGGAAGAGAGGATAAAGATAAGGGAAGCTTGCAGCAGGAAGAAATTGGTAAGATGGTGAATACTCTTCCATCAAGGTGCCTAAACTGCTCCACACTACGCTGTGATTTTCTGTCTGTTCAGAAATAACATCACACCTGACTTAGGTTCACCTGTCCTGAAATCAAATGCCATCTTGTTGTTGCAGATAATCGCCAACATTTCTGGCTGTGATGTGGCGTCATTGGTGGACTGTCTGAAGGCAAAATCTGAAGAGGAAATCCTTTCCATAAGTGCTGCGATGGTATTGTATATTCACCTATATAATGTCCCATCATACTGTAGCTGGTCACTACCAGTGTCATCAAACCCAATGGTTCTCATTCAGAGGATTGGCCGTTGTGTCATTTAGTGTAGGTGGTTGTCCCATTCAGCAGAAGCACATTTGGCAGATATGTAAAGCAAAGTTTGTAAACTGAGCCAGATCTGGCGCCGTCATTTTCATTCAAACTGATCTTTTTTGCTGAAAGTTTGTTGAAATTAGCCTATAACGTCACCATCGTAAAATTTGCTTTAAAAAAATAATGGTATAGTATAGTTTTCTAACAAAACCATGTAATCACCATTCCAGAGCTCACATGACATGGTGATCACATGACTTTTTTGGTAAAGGGTTGGGGTTCCTCAGTATCTACTGTCATGTCCACAGCTAATAAGTATGCATTTTTTGGGCAAAGAAAATTTCCATAACCCTCAGGACACATTTAAAGCCAATTTCATCTTAAAAAAGCCACCAAAAACCATTTGTCTTCCCCATAAGCCCAAGGCATTTTACCAAACTGCCGGAGTGTGGACCTCTGCCTCTGACCACAGTCATTACCTATGATAGGGATGGAGTGCCGCCATGAATACACTTCCATTTCTTGTCTCTGCAGAAACTTATCAATCCCCCAGCAACTGTTGATGGCGTCTTCCTCCCAAAGCCTGCAGAGCAGATCTTGGCGGAAAAAGAGAACAATCCGGTTGAGTTTATGACCGGTGTGGTGGAGCAAGAATGCGGCTGGATCCTCCCTGCGGTAAGAGATGTGCTCCATATGACTTCACTGATATCATAGAATGCAGAGGGCGCCAGGAGTGTGTAAAGGGGAATGCTCCCACTTGAAGCTTTTCTGGTGTCTTGGATGCACCCTAAGGCTTCATGCCCATACAGGAGCCGTACAGTGTGCAGAGCCTCCCCCAGCCACCATGTACAACCACCCTTTGAGAAGAATGGGCAGAGGCAGCTGTGGTTGGCTGCTAGTGTTTGCACAAAGCACCCACATGTACTCAGAACGCAGATGGTGTTGTAATAGCAACTTTGGGAATACCAGGGAAAACTCTGGACACGATCTTGAGGAAAACAAGCTTTATTAACCAGCTGGGACTTGGCAAGGACTAATGTCTGCAAGCTAAGTGTCTTCAAAAGCATCTTACATGGTGTATATACCAACATTTACATCACAATGCATATATTTCCTCTTCACTTGTTCTACTTTTGAAATACATTCTAAGCAGTATACAGGATATAATCTTTGTGGTTTGCACAGGAAATGAGGAGGAGAAAGTGAGCTGATGAGCTGCTTCTGCAAAAAAATGCTTTTAGAAACGTTAAAACTTAAAGGAGAACTGTGCAATATTTGGGTGCTGCCACTGTGTGAGTTTGGAGAATACATCAGTGCACATGCAAATGTACGCAAATACCAGTGCACAACAAATTTACATGCAAATTCGATGGATGAACAGCTATGTGATTTTTTTTTTTCAATAAATACACCACCTATTTATTTTTGGTTAGCACAGTGGGTGATGGATTTATTATGCATTTGTATATACAGGAGAAGCGCTACATTGTTTTTTAATATTTTTTGTATCAGGAGGACTTGAACATTTATGTGTAGAAGGTGTGATGGGCTTTGTCTTCTTGTTAGTGTTACTAAACCCACAACAGTAAAATCAGTCTGTATATGCAGTAAAGCATGCGTGTTATACTTACTGTGGAACCTAAGGGGTTAATCCTCTGCGTTGTGTAAAAAGGCCCTTTGATCCTGTCTTCTCTGATCCTCCCTTTTTCAAGTGACAACCTCTTATCTCCTGATAAGACAGACTGAACCATAGGTATTTGCACATGTTTAGTTTGGTGTGTATTGCTAGAGAGTTTTTTTTTTCTTGGGAGAGTGCATGTGATCAGCACAGGGCCAATCAGCACTGTCCAGACAGAGGTCAGGGGTTTTGCATCCTCCTAGAGCAAAAAAAAAAAAAACTCCTCCTACAAGCTTTAGCTAGTGCTTGGCTGGACTCTGATAGAAGTCACAAGACTGCTCTAACTGCTGATAAGAAAAGGTATTTATCAGTTAATATTTACTAAAATAATTGCATTTCATGTTCTGTGTACTGTGAGAGACCAGATATAGTGAATGCGGGGTCTGGGGAGAGCGAATATAGTGAATGCAGGGTCCGGGGAGAGCGGATATAGTGAATGCAGGGTCTGGGGAGATGCGGATATAGTGAATCCTGGGGAGAGCAGATATATAGTGAATGCAGGGTCCTGGGAGAGCTGATATAGTAGAGGCAGGGTCCAGGGAGACCAGATATAGTGAATGCAGGGTCCTGGAGACCAGATATAGTGAATGCAGGGTCCTGGAGACCAGATATAGTGAATGCAGGGGAGACCAATATAGTGAATAGTGGAGTGCAGGGTCCTGGAGACCAGATATAGTGAATGCAGGGTCCTGGAGACCAGATATAGTGATGCAGGGTCCGGGGAGACCAGATATAGTGAATGCAGGGTCCGGGGGAGAGCGGATGGCAGGGTATGGAGTGAATGCAGGGTCCGAGGAGACTGGATATAGTGAATGCAGGGTCCGGGGAGACCAGATATAGCGATTGCTGGGTCCGGGGAGACCGGATATAGTGAATGCAGGGTCCGGGGAGATATGGATATAGTGAATGCAGGGTCGGGGGGAGAGTGGATGCAGGGTCCGGGAGGATATAGTGAATGCAGGGGTCGGGGAGACCGGATATAGTGAATGCAGGGTAGTGAATGCAGGGGCTGGGAGACCAGATATAGTGAATGCAGGGTCTGGGAGACCGGATATAGTGAATGCAGGGTGCTGGGAGGGAGACTGGGAGACCAGATATAGTGAATGCAGGGTGCCAGGAGACCGGATATAGTGGATGCAGGGTGCTGGGAGACCGGATATAGTGATATAGTGTGAATGCAGGGTGGGAGACCGGGGAGAACAGATATAGTGAATGCAGGGGTCCAGGGGGAGACGGATATAGTGAATGCAGGGTCCGGGGAGAGCGGGTATAGTGAATGCAGGGTCCGGGGAGAGCGGGGGAATGAGTCCGAGATATAGTGAATGCAGGGTCCGGGGAGACGGGTATAGTGAATGCATAGTGAATGCAGGGAGCCTAGTGGAGAGGGGATATAGTGAATGCAGGGTCCGAGGAGACGGATAAAGTGAATGCAGTGAATGCAGGGTGCCTGGGTTTAGTAATACTTTAATAATATATTAGGGAGCACAGAAGATGTAAGATTTGTTATTGGAGCAACATTTTTATTTAATATGCTAACAAAAAAGATGAAGATCAGCAATTTAAAAACCTTAAAAAAATAATCGAGGTGACCCCAGACCATCTGAGGTTTCTTTGAAATTGAAGTTGCGGATCATTTTAATCTTATTGATTTCCTCATTATTTGCAGGCAATGAATGTGAGCGGATTGGTGGAAGGAATGGATAAAGAATTTGTATCCTCCTGGCTACAGAGCCACCCCATCACGGTATGATCGCCTCTGTGTGCGTCCACGCCTGTCCCTGTCACGAGGCACATTGTGTGAATTACCATTGCTTAGCTTGTTTTATGGTTTCACTTTACATCTGTGCCGGCAAAATTTGAATCCCCTGAAATGGGAGCCTGGCTGAATACATCTGAGCAGGGGCGGACTGACCATTTGGAAACTCGGGCACTGCCCGAGGGCCCGGGGTCAGTAGGGGGCCCTATGAAATGCCCCTGATACCTTTTTATATGCTTTTTTGAGTTTGGGCAAGGACACAGGGGCCCCATGAGTTGTCAGTCCGCCCCTGCAACTGAGGCTTAAAGAGACTCACATCCAGACTATATACTGGATATAGAGGTCAAAGCCGGACAATGTGTAACGTAACGCACTTACCATTGTGACTCCCACATAGCATAGGAAGGGGAACGATACTTATCAGATCCTACACTTCTGTAGATTTCATCCCACTGCCCTACATCCTGGCTGCCCTCTGACGACTCATGACATCACACACTGGGGACGCCCACTGTAAAGCCTCCTTCCCTATTCAACACTCAACTTGGAGAGCAGCCACACCCACTGTAAGCCTGATCTGACTTACAACTGGTGTGTATTGATTCAATGTAAAGATTTAGTCCAGGTGATTATTTTGGCATAATTTAAAAATTATACATTTATAAAAAGACATAAAAGAAGTTTCATATTCACTGCAAGCTGACCCCAAAAGTTTATGTTCCACAAGGTTTGGTGTGGCTCATGCCACTTTGATATGACTGCTTCCTAGTTAGTTTATAGGTTGGACAGTCACACTGTACTTCGTCCAGCTCTTGTCAGTTGATAATGGAGGAGGACCAGCAGGGAAGAGCGGGGACAATGTCTTTTAACCAATCTGGCTTACTGGGTTCTGATTGGTTGCTGCCAAATGTATAGCTAAGTAGTAAAATGAAGCTGCTAAAAATCTTTTAATTTAGTTTTCTCTGATTTGGTTGCATGGATGACGTCTTGCTGTTGTCGATGAACACCGTATCGTATCTTTGTCATTGCAGGGATCATTCGGCTATCATCCCACTACTGATCGAAGAATATATTGGGGATGAGGCGGATCCCCCTGAGGTCCGCAACCGCTTCCTGGAGCTGTGTGGAGACCTCATATTTGTAATACCAGCCCTGAAAACGGCAAAATATCACAGAGGTGAGTCCAGGACATTCCTGATTTCCTGTTTGTATGGAAAATACCCAAACAGATCTGGTAGACTCATACATTGCAGTATTTAAACATTTTTATGAGATCATTGGACCCCATGAAATACATCCTAGTCCTGGGGGGGGACACATTTAACTGCACATAGAGGTCTTCCTGGCTGGTTGTCAAGTTTATGAACCTATTCTAGGCCAGGATGCTGCTGGTTCTACAGTGAATGTTCATTGTCTGTCAATAATTTGGATGTTATTTTAGATAAATTGTTTCATAGTTACTT